GGCTCCCACCGGCCTCCCCGTGGCTTTGGGCTCTTGAGGGCCCGGGGAAAATGTTCGGTGCAAGCGTATATGCTTTTAGAAAATAAACAGAATCAGTAGGAATAATAAAGATTTTACTCTTGCTTTCTTCTGAAGGCAGATTGCTATACATAGACTAAGCAGTCTAGTCTTTCTTAAGAGATAAAGGAAACAAGAAGGTTTCTCTAGAAAGTGGCTTGGAGGATTACAAGAAGATTTTTGTCCTTACTTTTTAACCATCTTGCAGAGCAAAAAATGTGGTTTCAGCCTTCCCTGTAGTAGTACCTCCCTTTGTTGGCAAAAGGGAGTGCGAGCAGCCTAGTCTCCCTCAGCTGAAGTTCGCTTCTCTGAATTGCCCTAATGTCTGTGTGGGATTTGTAAAGATGACCTTGTCTGTGCTAGTACTTTTCTCCAAAATCACATAAGAACTTTTGAAACTTGCCTCACTTGGATTATTTTCTGCAAGCACTGGAGGTTGCAGATTGTGGGGGAAAAGAAAAGAGCATTTCTCTCTGGAGAGCTACAGCCAAAATAGTCAAGTAGAACGGTTATCCCCAGATGTCTCTTTTTCCCCATGCAGAAATTTTGTCACTCTTTATCAAGGAGCTCTTCTTTTAGACTGTGTGCAGTACTTTGAGATGCACAAGTTTGTGTTTGATCACAATTAAAGATTGATACCTGGGAGCAGCTGTTTTTATTTCAGTGTATAATAACATTTCTTACCTTTTCTTACATAAGAGTGTTCTACTATTCTGAAAATAACTGTTTTCTTACAGGATTAAGTGGACGATTTATCATAACAGCTCTTCCTACCATCTATCAGTAAGTATGCATCGCAGCAGGATTTTTTGAAGGAGAGAGGGCTCTTTTCTTCCTTTTTGGGGGGGGCAAATGAATGGGATTTATCATGCTCTTTAGGAATGTGAGTTACTTTACACAGAGACAACCACTATCTTAACCTGCTGTGACCTTACAGTACTGCCAGTTGTTTTTTTTTCTTTTCCCTTCAGGCCTTATTTATTCCATCTTTTCGTGGGTGTTTCTATTTTGCAATCTTTTCTCTGTAGATTGATCTTAATACAGTTGTGTGGCAAGTGCATTAGGAAGATAGTTATCTTTTTATGGAATCGCAACCTAAAGCTAGCCAAGATACACGTGGAGTCAAGATTCTAAAAATACTTGTAGTCAAGATTTTTGGTAAACATTTTAGAGCCAATATCATCTAAAGCAAAGTAAAATTAAAAAAAAAAATAGGCATGGGGGTGGGAAGGAAGATGTTGAGTGGAAGTAAATGCTGCATGCTTGAACTGTCTAAAATAAAGGACCTTTTTTACAGCTGTAAAGATGGAGAGTTCAGGAGATACCAGGGTGCAAGAACGAAAACTGATTTCATAAATTTCATCAGTGACCAGGAATGGAAATCTATTGAACCAGTTTCATCATGGTTTGGTCCTTCCTCTTTCCTGTAAGTTTTGGTATGATTTTTATAGTAATTTGTTGTCAAACATGCACACTTTAAGGACGTGCTGGGACAGGTCCTTAGGCGTGCCGCACCTGGTGCTGCCTCCTTGTTAACAGCTCACGCAGCAGCTCTGTGTTGGTAAGAAGTATGTGAAGGTGGTGGGTGGGTGGTCATGCCTCCCTCATCAGCTGTGGGAGGATTGTGTGTGCTAGCATAGCAAAGATACTCTGAGCAAGGTTTACTTTAAGGCTTCAGATAGTTATAAGTGGGTGTATTGTTTTACTAAACTCTTATAGGTAACTAACTGACACTTGAAGTTCTTCTTTTGATTATACAGCAGAAAGATGCTTTGCCCAGCTAAATTCTAGGAAGTTAGCAAGAAAAACTGGAAAATAATGTACCAACATAGTTGTAAGATATGGGCTGGCCATTTAAGAAGATGTATCTGTTGTGAAGTTAAAAGCAGAGTGGAAGGGCAAAGGTTCCTTTGTTGAAGGAAAAGTGAAGTGAGGAGACTAGTCTGAGAAGAAACACACTCTATGGAGTTCTTTCTAGTTTTGTGGCTTTGAAGTGCTTTTAGTTGTTGCTGCATGTGCTGTGTGGTGGTTTCAGAGTAGTTGAGTAACTGAGTGATAAAGCATGTTGGGGACACCATTGGCTGAGGCAAGTGAGCCCAATTGTTCATGGTTTTTCTTCTGTTAGAGCAATGATGGCTGAAACACCTCTGTACTAACTGTGCTGTGCTGTAGCAGTGTTCAGTTTATGAAGTGTTATGCTAGACTGAAATTTTACATTTTTTGTGGCTCTTCTAGGAGGCTCAGCATTCTTACTTTGTCTACTCGCAACGCTATTTGAATCTTTGAACTCTGTGGTTGATCTTCTACAAAGTATTAGCCCCCACCAAGGAATGTGTGAAACAGGGTACCAATTTTAGGATTAATAAGTTTTCTATTAGAAGTGTACAGTACCAGCTCCATTTTTTGTGCATACTGAAGCAAGTAGGCTTCTTCTGCGGCTCATTCATTAGCAAATTAGGTTGGCTTAATGTTTCAAATTCTCCTTTCCTTTACAGATAGTGAATACTTAATGCTGAAATTTCACAACAACAGGGAGATGTCAGAATCGGCAGGATATACATGGCAGATAGCCTTGTCTTTTTCACTTGTATGTAAAATATGGCTAAACTTAAGTGTCTGAAGATCTCTCAGTTCTTATATAACCTGATTTTTTTTAATAGGTTAATTTTTTGTTTTAATAAAATTTCCAGATGCTTAATTCTTAATATCTTGAATAGAGTTCTGGCTGGCTTCTCATAGACTGTTGGTCCAAATATAACTGTCGTGGTTTAACCCCAGCCAGC